AAATGTTCGCACTCGACACAATTTGACGAGCTCTTTCGATTAATATGCATTTCATCAGTATTATGTGCTGAATGATGCCGGTAGCATATGCAGGATCCCCTACAGATCATATCAAGTAGTATCTTCTTCTACAAAGCATTCCAACACAATGCAAGCCGGCTAAAGTCATATCAAACAACGCCTGACGAAGAGTTTTGCTTACTGGTACAGTTTTCTTCCAATTAATTGCCGTTCCATTAGTCTATGATACTAGAAGCGCATCCCCTATGAAATCAGCACCAACTGCCACATTCCCAATATCTTCATCTTCACATGTACCGGCATTGAAACATACATGAATCGACTTCTCTCAATAAGATTCATCGTTTGATGCATAATACATGATCATTCATTGCTAGTGGCAGCACACAGAGGATCTGGAATAGGATTTCAGAGATCTCAATTTCGTTCTGCCTTGAACTAGGGTGTAGGTAGGGTTTGGGTGTCATACCTCTCTTTACTCACACCCACACTCAAATTAGGAACGCAGAAGAACGGACAAAAAATTTGAGTAGGTGTCTTTGCAATGACTACTGCTCATTAAGGATAATTAATTTTTAAAAAAATCGATGAAAAGATAGAGAAATGTTTACTCTACCCCGGAAATCAAAAATTAGCTCAAACGAATGTTGTGGAAAGAAATTATGAAGTTTTTTTTAAAAAGATAAAATTTGGTGATCGAATTAGGGTTAGCCGCTCTATATGAAATAAAAGTTTAAAAAATTGATCTTATTTGTTTTATATATTGTTCACTTAGATTTTTCATCCAAAGTTTCAATCTGAATAGTAAGTACTTATTTCAAAAAAATAAATTTTTTCTTTCATTTCAATTGTCTCAACATCGAAAGAAACAGTAAGTTTTTTATTTAATTAGATAAATTTTTTTTCTTTATTTTAGGTCAATTGGTACATCCAAATTAATCAGTATTTTATTTAATGAAAGAATTTTTTTTCTTTGTTTTAGGTTAATTGGTATATCTAGATTGATCGGTAAGTATTTTATATAATGAAAGAATTTTTTTCTGTTTATTTTCGGTCAACTGATACATGAAAATGCAAAGATGAGTACCTATGTCATGAAAATCGAGTCGATTTTCATGAGATGGATATGTAATTAAATAGTTATATAACCTATGATTAAAAAAAAGAGCTGATAAGTAAAGCATCGATACTCCAGGTAATTAATGTGTGGTTTAGCTACACAACTCCTATAGGATTCTGCCGGAAGCCGCTGGATTGCCTGGGGTTTCCTGTAGGTTCCGACGGGATCCAACAGTCGAATTGCTCGTCCTGGGCACGAGTAGAATAAGAGAGGATGAAAAGAAAGAAGATGAGGTCAAGGCGAGAACAATGCAAGAATAAAAAAGTGATGAGGCCAAGGAGAGAATACATATAGAAGAACAATAGAGTAAGAACATAGGGTGGGTGTGGGTGTGGATGTAGGTGAGTTAAGAGAACACCCACACACCCACACCCACACCCACACCCACACCCACACCCACACCCACACCC